ACGTGTCCTAACCATCTTATCTGATGTAGCTTAAGAGACACATCAATCTGCCTACCTCCCTCATCTAACACTCGATGACTAACTTCAAGATTACTCATCCTATCGTGCTACCTAATACGGGAGGTAGAATGCAGACACAGCTAGCTGGCCTTTTCATATCTCCCACTTTCAATAGGTATGTCTCACAGACGGAGAAGGACAGAGCGAACTTCTGAACAGTTCAAATGTCCTTTGATCGATAGACAGCCGCTATAAATGGCCTGAGCTGGTTAATACCAAACTAGTCTCTTCTATCCGTACTGAAATTCCATAAGAAACCAGTTCACAACAGCTGATGCAACTTCCCAAACAAGCGAAGTGGTCAATACGCCCTACCACTTCACTCCCTTTCTTTGAACTAGCAGTCGATGTATTCCAGTGCTGTAGTATCATCTTACATCAGACAGGAGCGAAATACATGCTAGTCAAAGTGTTCAGAAGACTGCATTTTATCAGCGTCTTCATCTAATAGGACTATATTATCTGTATATTCCAAGTCAACAGGACTAACCCCTGGCAACAAATCAATCCTTAAGTGGCTGAAGTCAGTTACAGTCAATTTCATTAGTATATCTATGATGAAATCAAACAGAAATGAGGACAGTTGAGATCCCTAACGGAAATTAACTTCAGATGAAAAATGTCTGTAAGCTCTTACGCGGTTGCATGGGTTCCAGTAGATTGTCTTGACTAGTGAGATATGATTTCTAGGCCGAAAATTCTCATACTACCTCTCAGTCGGCGGAAATGTGAACTAAATGTAAATTTACGAAATAAAAAATGCGATTGTGTGCAGCTGCTTTTGATGGTGATGAAATCGGCCGAAAAAAAAATGGTTTCCCTTCCTGAGCTTCTTATTGCTTTTCTCTTCTCTAATAATGCCCTCCTGCTGGTTATTTTCTACGATTTAAAAAATAAAAGTGGTAGATTTCAGTTTGACAACACTTCATCAGAGAGAAATTTGCTGATTAATTAATTAATGCACTTTTGTCCATTGTCCACAAATTCCATATGGCATCAACAGAAAACCCATAAACAGATGTGCAAACACACTCGCACGCAAAGGTCAATATAGAGGAGGAGTATATACAATTTAACTCATTTATTCGTCTAAACTGTCAAACCAGTGCTTAAAAACACACCTGTCTGATATAAAGCTAATTATAAGCGAACTGCAGCATATAATAATAATAATCTGATGCTCGTAAGTGACTGGATTGATACGGGAAGCTACCTGAAGTTTTAGTGAAAGCCATATGTGACCAGTGGGGCTCCACCCGGTCGCAAGTGAGGTCAAATACTCGTCAGCGATGACATTGGCTGGTGTACCTGTGTCAGTCACATTAAACTCACGAATTGGTAGAAGTTGGAATTTATCATCGGTCAGTAAACCGAAGGATCCCACCGGCTAAATAGTCCACCAACTAGCTAGCTAGTTAGCTCACCTTGTAACCGGAATGTCCTCAGTTTCCAAAACCTGATGAGAGTGCATACTGATGAAACTACTAGGACGAAACAATTATCCAGTATTACCCCGCCCCACGGCCACACGCACACACACCGCTGGTCTCCAATCATTCTCTCCAACAGATGTCAGCTTGTGAACAACCTTGAAATTATATGCAAGTCCAGTTGGAAAATTTTTTTGCACAAACGGAAGGCTTGGCACCCTCATCAGCTGAGGCAGTTGAAAGTCTTAAATCAACTCTAGTCGACTGCTGTTATAAATATATAAACAGTAAACGGAAACTGAATAGCTTGTTAACCAAGAAACACAGGGAAGCCTTAGATAAGCTGAGAAATAATGAGAATATAATAATAATAATCTCGAAACCTGATAAAGGCTCTGGAGTAGTAGTAATAATGAATAGATAGATTGATAAGATGAATGGAATACTCAGTGATCACCGAAAATTTTAAAAAAATCACATCTTCCCGTCGATCCGACAGAAAAAGTGGAGAAACACCTAACTAAGTCACTACAAAAGGACTTGAACGACAAAGTAACATCATAGACAGTTTGGTTTATAGGAATCTGTAAAGCCTACTGGCGCGGTTACACCGAGATAATATGGTCTACCAGAAGTGCATTAAAATTGGTTTGCCGTTTCGATCAGTTATGGACATGTGTGTAATTCCCCATATCATTCAACAGAAAGATGCTTAGTGAAGCTCCTAAACCGATATATATTCACATAATATGTGTGTTTGTTTGACAGTCTGTTATATTTGCTAGGTATATATGGATCGACATTCCATTATAATTAGCCAATCATGTTAAGACTGTCTATTGATATGTTCATTTTGAATATTCGCTCACACACTTGTGTTCACACTCTTGTTCGGACATTCACTATTTTGCTCTCACACACTTGTGTGAGATTGATTCTCCTTGTGTTTGGAAAATAGAACTATCATCGAAAACCTAGTGGTCTTCTGATTTCCGTCTTTCTTGCGTCAGGACTATTAAATTCTCGACCAGTACATAACAATAATTTGGCGACGAGTACATAACATGAACCCTCTGCATAACGAATTGGTAAAACATAGGCGTAAACGGTAGTTTGGAATTCGTTGGAAAAATAAGAGATCTTGATGTTAGGAACAAGTTTATGATATCTTTTCATGAATCGAGATAGTAGATTGTATATGTGAGGAGATTACAACACGAAACATAGACATCGGGATTTCTTTATCCACCTTGAAGGAACTTATTTTAAGATGTACGTACAATGAATGTTCATTTCTTATTCAATAAGGAAGACTACAGACAAATTGACGGTGTAGCTATGGGTTGCCCATTAGGTCAAATCCTAGGTGATTTTTTCCTCGCTAAGTTAGAGAATGGACCACTGAAAGGAGTAATAAATAATGACTTGGATTTCTACTGTCGATATATGGATGATACATTTCTGATTATGAAAGACGAGAATGATACAATGAACATCCTTGACAAGTTTAATGATGCACATTCAGCAATAAACTTTACCATAGAGAAAGAAAGTGATGACAGTGTCTCATTCCTAGACATCTTCATGGCAAGGAAAGAAGGAGTGTGTTTAGGAAACCTGCAACGACAAGTCAGTACACTCATTTTTTGAGTTCTGTACTTCATCTTTAATTACGTGTTATCCTTATAAAATTAATTTATTCTATTTCTACCTTTTAAATGTGTGTATTGATTTTCTTGGTTTATTATCACCCCAGGTTTAGCTTCTTCAGTAACTAGGAGAGTCAGCATGGCAACAGTTCCGAAAAAAACCAATGATCATAAAACTGCAGTTCCCCGGTGACAACATCAGGGAAGTAATAATGTAACAACAGAAGACAAGGGCCAGGCAACAGATCGTTTTATTATGAAAATCAACACGTATTTATACATATTTCACATGCATTATTATAGCTTAAGCAAGTAGACAAGCGCCGTCATCTGATTGGTTGTTTATCAGAAGTTAGGCAGACAAACGCAGGCTTCTGATTGGTTGTTTCGGGATTCCTCGACAAATAGAGTTCTCTATCTGCGAATCATATTTTGCCACGTTAACATTGCTGTGATTGGTTGTTGAATCAGCCTTGCTCATGTTTTCTCACGGCCTGCTCTCACCACAATAACACAGCACTTTACGAATGCAGTTAAGGGAGCTTATTCTGGAGCAGGGGTACGTTGTCTCTTCACAACCACCCTTATTCTACGTTCGAGAAATAAGGATAAACTACCTAAATTCGCCTCCTCTTCTATGTGAATCTACAAGTTTGACTGCAGCTGCGGAGCCAGATACATCGGCCGTACAACTGGTAGGTTCATCATCGTATTTCCGAACATCATGCAACGTGCTTAAGCAAGGGACAAACAAGATCTACTCGTAGCTGTCTGTTTGAGCACACCTTGTAGAAAACTAGTGAGCATAAGGTTGACGTTAATACTGCATTTAAAATTATTTATAGCATTCCTAATAACCCTAATTTTGCTTTACGAGTTCGTCTTCTACATACAACAGCTGAAGCAATAGGAATCCACTACCTGAAGAAGCCAGCCAAACCTGTGTGTTCAGAAGAAATTTGTACAGCCACTTTCCTTACCTTCCTTGGCCATCGTTACATGAATGTATACACCGGACTACTTCGCCCCCCTCCCCCTAAACCTTTATAAATTATAATTGTCCAAATTATTTTAGTTTTATTTATTTTTGACCACTTCATCCTTAATTACGTGTTATCCTTGTGAAATTAATTCATTCTAACCATTTCTACCTTTTAATTGTCGTATATTGATTTTCTTCGTTAATTATCACCCCACTGCTTGACATGTTGACACTGACTGACTAATTATTGTTAACAAACATATCAGTGCCACTTACTTGATTGGTAAACTGTTGTGTATTTGTAATAATAAAAATGCATATTAGAGTAGAGCCAGAGTGAGATGAGGATCTAATCAAAAAGTGAATACTTCTTCGCTTAATCTTTTTGTTTTCTAAATGTCTAAATTAATAAAAATAATGCCAATTTCAAAGCACAAACATGCAAAACAATGTGTATATATATTTGTATGTATATATAAATATACATATATAAAAATGATATTAATGACCATGGTGATAAAGTTCCAAACGATGAAAAATAATGAAGCGTGGTAGGCGTAGTGGGGGGAGGTGTATGTGTGTGTGAATAAGCCATGAGTTAATTATTAGTATTAGTATTATTATTATCAGCGGGGATAGAGAGGAATCATCAAAAGCCAACCGGATTTAAACATCATAATATTAATAGTAATTTTAATAATAATGATAATAATAACAATATGAAGATATAATCCACGCTTAGAAGACGAAAAACGGTACAATGCAAACGATTCATCATTTTATATGGATGTATCTATATATATATATACACATGCACGACGCATAACAGAAGAATCCTCCTCTGTTAAGACGACGGCAACAAGAACATCATCAACAAGAACAACAACAAAAAACAAACGATACAGAACTGTACACAGACATACACAAATAAAAACATTGCAAACAGGATATTGCATGGCATGAATTGTTTGTTTGTTTTCACACATTATCTTTCTCCCGTAGTACAACACATCACATGAATTCAAGGAATACTCGACTTTGTGAAGGGTCTACAATGAGAGAGTGAGAAAAGAAAAGAGTTAGGGAATAGAGTTAGGAGTTTAAAATTCGTCAGAAGTACCGTGTATTTGAGTGTCCTATGGGGGGTATTGTGAGGGAAAGAGACAATTCAAACCAAAACCAACACTTGAACACCAATGAGATGTTCACTAGCGACTTGAATACCTGGGAATCTAGTGAGAAGTCGTGCCCAGTAGGGTGCAGCAGGTTGGGAGTGAGGACAAATACTTGCCGAAGACACTGGCTAGCGGTTGAGCTATGTCGTGAATTGGTAGAAGTTAGAATTCATGGGCAATTGGATCGGGTCCCAGTGGCTTAATGGTATACGAGCTCACCTTTTAACTAGAAGGTCCTGGGGTTCGAATCCAGGTGGGCGCGTACTGCTGAAAAGTCCCGAATTAGGACGAAGCAGCTGACTAGTACTCCCAAGTGGTTTTTCAATGGTTCTCTAACTAATGTCAGCTCATGATGAAATCCTGTAAACAAAAAAGTCGGTTGTACAGCTTAAGTATAAGCGTTCTCCGTCGATTGACTTATTTCAACATTCAGTATTATAAAGAATGCGCACCACAGTATCGTATCTCAGTCACCTTGGTAAGCTAATCGAAAGATTTTGTGACAAGCGATTATGCATCGGTCGTGGGTCAATGGTAGAATATACTCGATTAACCACGCACATACATAGTCTAGGTTCGATTCCCGGCCGAATTCACCAATCATACACCACCTCACCAAATTTACTAGCTCATTCATAGGAAGGCTAGAGAAGAGGGAAGAGTAGGGTGTGAGACTACAAACTCTCCCCCTCCTATAAAACAACATCACCACTGGCTGGCTATCGACACTTCAAAAAGCTTGCTGCCCTATGCTCTACTTGAAATGTAAGAGACTACTATAATTACAATTCAATGTGATGTCGTGACACAGTTAAAATAATATATAAATGCTGAAATACCTATGCGATAAGTTCCAGAAGATTTACGAGTTGACAAGTTATGCAAAAGTACGGAACAAGACATAATATAGTGATTGACGGTTTACGCAAATGTTTCTAGATTAGCACAGTATTCGAGTTTGCATTCCATGGAATATCTATTTGCAGTACACTGACCAACCACATGTTCGGATTTACGATATTCAATATACACTAAGTGCTACGAAAGTCATTGGTACGGCTTCCTTACCGCTCGCCAGCCGTGGCCTTTGAACTGGGTGGAGAAGCAGAGGAGTAGGTAGTCACAGCTTATAGTGTGGCGCGCTGTAGGATGGAGGATAGCTGTTACACGTAAGCATCTGTTGAGGTATCACAACTCCCTCGGTGAGGGGTCTGAGAGATAATTCCGATCAATGGGGTTTGAAATGTTGTCAGACATACCCAAAAATTGCAATCACTCGAGGTGGTTGCTAGCATCACCCACCCAAGCTTCTCTCTTACGCCCTTCGGGAATCGAACCTGGTCCATGTTCGTGGTTGGCAAGCAAGCATTCCCACCACTGAGCCTCACGCAGTAAGCGTGCCAGTTAGGGGATAGCTTAAGCCTAAATTCCATGAAATGTCTTTATTTGAAGTGCACTGATCGGTATATCTGAATTTACAGTTTTACATATGCTTAGATAAAATAAGGTATATGCTAATATCGGAGATTTTCCGAGGGCTAAGTAAGACATGTGTACTACGAATGTCATCTCGCTGCTTGTTACCCCAGGACCGGATGGGGAAAACTGAGGGGTGGTCTGCGGCGGCGTACGACTTGGTGCCATGGGGATCAGTTTGTGTTAGGTTAATACACAGCTGATCGGACCATGATGAACTCTAGGGTGGAAAACAGACGAAAAGTAGTTCGCATCGGTGGCTATGTATGTTATCAGATATCACCGAGAACTGAAATCAGTCGCAAAAATGCTGGAATTTATCTTTTATTTTCCCCTACCGACAGAGTAAAGTGGTGACGCATCTCCTTTGAGAATGGATCATTTACAAGTATGAAAGAAACAACCTCCTGTACCCACTCACCTGGGAAGCATCGTTTCAACTACAGGCGGAACTGACGAGAATATCAAAGCAAGAATCGGAAAAGCAAGACAAGCTTTCATTACTCTCAAGTCTGGGTGGAGGTCAACAGCACACAACACTCAGCATGTGAAGTCAGTGCTAATTACTGTACGGATCAGAGACTTGGCCAGAGCGTCATAAAGAGGATCTCAAATAAACTACAGACCTTCATTAATAGTTGTCTTCGCTCAATACTATTCAAGACCAGATGGCCAGAAAAGATCAGCAAAAGGGAGGGATCTCTGGCAATTAGCGAACCAATCCAGCATGAACCGATTGTGCAACAAATAGGCAGGAAAAAATGGAAATGGAAACCATCGAGTGACATCATTAGAGACTCCATCACTCAAGTGGAACCTGGCCGGAAGGGGGGAGGCGAGTTGGTCTTCCAAGGGTGACTTGGAGGAGGTCATGTGAAAAGGAGATGAAAACGTCTGGGCAGACTTGGAGAGGGGTGAAAACGTTGACAGAGAACCGAATGCAATCCAGACGCGCGACTGAAGCCCTATGTTTCTCTAGGAATTAAGGAAACAATAATAATAATAATGCTTCGTTGATCCTAGTTCATTCTATTCCCTCATATAGTGTTTTTCTATTATTTTTCTGTGTGTGGGGGTGTTTTCTTTCAACGATTATATAAGTAGGGTAGTAGTAGTAATAGTAAACACGATGACCTCATTTCCTTTATTCAACTTGTGATATTATAAAAACTACGTCAATGTTCTGTGGATGTGGCTGTCCCCGATTGACTTACTTTAATGATGCTGACGGTACACGACAACCGAATATTACCACTGGGATGGAATTGTCCAGATGGAATTGATGACCTTAATCGGAAAAAAGGCACAAAATTAGCAGTAAATAAATAATCATAGTCACTTTTATGTAGACACACCAATAGTACACAGACAAAAACGCATTAGTTCAAAATAATAGAATTACACAAAATAAAGGAAAGGAGGAATATCGATCGGATAGCGAATAAGATGAAACAGACATTGGCCCGAACTTTTTCGAGTGGAGCGTGGTTCGAGTCTGTGATCAATTGATTGGACCTAATCAGTTACAGCTCAACACTGTATAATAACATTTGCTTTTCTAATCAATTTTGAGCTATCTGTCTCATCCATCAAGGGCTACCACCTTTACTATTGATTTTTATCAGTTTTAGAATGCCACCACCAGCTAGGCGATCTGTACACCCCTATCAAGATATTTTTTTCTGATTACCGCTTGATTTCACACCGTATTTTTGGTACAAGTATGGAATCTTCAGCATGTGATATCGGTAGCCCAAATTTTGCTAGCCGACCACAGATATCAGGTGTGCGTCGGCAGGGGATCGAACCCTGGACCATCTACACGGTCGGCAAGAGTCCCAACAACTGTGCCACCGACGCACCATATACATATATCTCTATACGTATACATCAAACCATACAAAACATTCCAAGACATTGACTGAAAATATGATATTATGCAGTTTAAAGAAAATCATATGGTACGCGAGTAAACGATCAACCACATTCCAATAGCTCTCCACCTGATATCAGGTCGTAATGAAACCGGTAGGTAACCAAACAAAACACTTGACAATTAATCTGATGCTCACTAGTAACTGGCTGGCCCTACACAGGAAGTTACATAGAGTTTTACGAGTTGACCACGGATTGATATCAGTTAGAGAACCATTGAAAACCAGCACTGGAGTACTGGACAGCTGTTTCACCAGCCTAGGTTGGGAATCATCGGTAGTACACATCCGCCCCACTGCGAGGGTTCGAACCCAAGACCTTTCGGTTACAAGGAAAGCTGGCTCGTATAACATTCAGCCATTGGGACCCGACTCCCCAATGGCCAGTTCATGAATTCTAACTTCTACCAATTCATGATTTAGCGCGACCCCAACCAGTGTCGTTGGTGAGACATCGATCCATCCACACCAGTGACATCTTATTGGACGTCACTGGTCACGACTTCTCACTAGAACTAACTCCAGGAAACTCCATCCTGTAGAAAGTCGCTAGCGAGCATCAAATTAATTTCCTATAGTTCGGTTTGTAAGGGTTAGTTATGTTTTTACGAGTTGATCACGTATTGATATCAGTGAGAGAACCATTGAAAAACAAGGAGTACTGATCAACTCGTAAAAACATAACGAACCCTTACAAACCAAACTATAGAAAACATAGAGTTTTAGTGAGAAGTCATGTGACCAGTGAGGTCCACGAAGTCGAGAAGCCAACAGAGTTACTAGGCCAAGACATTGGATGGCGGTAGAAGTTCGAATTCATAAGTCAGTGAATTGGGTTCCAGTAGCTGAATCATATAAAAGAGCTTGTCTTTTAACCCGAAGGTCCCAAAACGTTAGAACCTCGGAGGAAGGGAATACTAATGAAAAGCCCGGAAATAGGATAAAACATCTGTTCAGTACTTCCTGTTTTCCAATGATCTGCTAAAGGAAGTCAGCTGACGATCAAAAAACTCCCATCTCAATGAATGAAGATTCAACGTATTGATTTCCTAGTGTCTCTATTATCGTATCATCTCAAAAGAAGCCTTTTCATTCACTTATCTAGGGATCATTGTCTCAACTACAGGAAGTCGAAACGGACGAGGATGTCAAATCGAGCGAGAATCCGGAAGGCGAGAAACACATTCATCAACCAACTGAAACCAATCTGGAAATCTTCGTCACTCAGCCAGCATCAACAACAAAATTCGGTCAGATCTTCAATACAAACAACGTCAAGTCAGTCACTTCTTCTATACGGATGAGAAACTAAGCGGGCGGGCGGGTCACAAAGAATATTTCCAACAGCCTGTTGCTGACCTTCATCAACAACTGTCTTCGCTCTATGATGAAGATAAGATGGTCAGACCGGAAAGAATCACCAACAAGAAACTATGTGAAGGAACAAACAAAACAAGAACCAATCGCGAACCAACAAATATGCAGGAGAAAGTGGATGGAGATGGTTAGGACACTCGCCGAGGAGGTCGCCGCTGGGTGAAATCGCCCGCGCATCAGGTTATTCCTCGAGTGGAAACTGGCCGAAAGGGAAGCGGCGAGTGGGACGTCAGTGCAAGGATGACATGGAGGAGAAGGTGTGAAGAGAAGTTGAAACAGTATGGACTAAGATGGATACAGGTGAAAAGTACAGCAGAAGCAGGACAGAAGCAAGTGGAGACGTGGAGTTGAAGACGTATGTTCCACTAGGAACTCAAGGGAACAACAACAGCAAGAGAAGCCGATAAATTAAAACACTCAGGTAAACGGATATTATCAACTTCCTTACAAACTGAAAGTCACATTTGGTGTTAAGGAAAGTCAGTATAATCATCTTTGTTTCTTCTCTTCACTTCATAAACTAAACAAATAATCTTGACATATTTTAGATGCTAAACAGTTGGGATGGATTCATAGGTTTCCTGTACGAGTACGGCAATCTCTACGGTTAAAAACAAACCACCTGGCTGGCCACCCACACCCACCCCAACCTAGATCATCACATGAGGCTATAATAGTCGTCTTACACAAAAATAAGCAAATAGCAAGTTTATTATTCCATTCCAAGCAAAATTGAAAGGCAGAGTAAATATCATTGAATATATACATATATACACCGGCCATACTTTGAGGAAACCATCAAGTGAGTGACATCACTAGATAAGCTATCGCTCGACTGGAACCCGAAAGGGAAGTGCCGAGTTGGTCATCAGTGAAAGGGTGACTCCGAGGAGGAGGTCATGTGAAGAGATGAAAGCATGTGGACAGACTTGGAGCGGAGTGAAAAAGTTGGCAGAAAACCGAAGGCAAGGGAGACGTGCGACTGAAGCCCTATGTTCATCTAGGAATTAAAGGATATAATAATAATACACATACACAAATATATTTTGGGAAATATTCTCACCTTGCTTGAATGTATAACTCAACTGAGTTGGCATTCGACTAGCTGGATTAAACTTCAACAATGGATCTAAACGACCTGATTGTCTTTTGTGCTGAAAGAGATCAATAAAAAATAAAAATGGTGAAAAAACAATATTTTAAAGAAAATAATTGTTTCCGTTTTTGTAGATTAAAAACCCTAATATACGTTTAAAGCTGTACAGAGCTCCTAGGAAATGAATTTGATGTAAAACACTTCTACTAATAAATATACAAATGTTCACGAATTAAGCATATATAGTTGTCAAATATTGTATGAACAGTGCTGATTTATTATTATCATTATTATTCCCTTGGGTTCCGAGGGGAATATAGGGCTTCAATAATACACATCTCCACTTGCCTTCAATATTCTGCCGTCCTTTCTATCTGGGTCCACGACTACCCATAATCTATCTCTCAACCATCTTATCAATCACCCAACAACCTGGCTTGGTGTGTGATATCTCACTCAACAACAGTCTCCTTAGTATAAGTCTGTTTGGATTCAACAGAGAACTTGGCACTGAAGTGCACCAGTTCGAGTTGTCACCTTCCAAATAGCACACAAAGGTAGGTAGACAAGAAGATGAGTGAAGAGAATCAATAGTTTGACAAGTATAAGAGTGAAACAGAATGCATAATAATAGTAGAAAGGAATATGAAAGATTACAGAGACTTTGGCCATTGACAACGATTTTGAGCCATGTCACCAACTATTGTCTCCAGCTATTGATTCTTAGAGTCAGTCCCAAGGGCCCCAACCCGGAAGTCTCCATCGCCCTACCTAACTGACTCAGTTTAACTGTCAAGGATTTCATGGATTGATGAGGCCATGTTTTTGTTTGGCCACCCACCACTTACTCTTTTCCAACCTGCACCTATATCAGCTAGTAATGGCCGTCGGCGGGGGAGGCGATGGTTAGGCATGCGCAGAAGGTCACCTAGCCATCTCACTCAATCTATGTAAAATTATAGCCTCGTCGATTGATTTCCCCTCTTTGTCTGCCCAACACTCTACGCCTAACGTCAACATTACTTACCTTATTATATACCACCTAACGTGAGAAAGAGATCGTAGACATCTATGATCAAAAACAGTCAACATTTTCAAGTCTTCAACAACTCGTATTGGCCATGTTTCAGAGCCATAGAGAAGGACGGAGCGAACTGATGAGTAGTACACACGTCCCTTGGTTGATAGCCGGATGTCACTCAGAATATGTCCAATCCGTCTCTATCTTCTTCAGAATACTTGTTGGGTGGGTAGTAAAGTTCTCGGTCGGTTGTTGTTAGTTGTCTGCCAGAGCTCCTTGTTCGTAACCTTTCCAGCCGCCTGGTCTTATGTAGTGTTTTTATAGAACACAAATAAGGACAGTAGATAGCAGTGTTCACACACACACAGCTAGCTTGCTAATGAGCACGATTAAGCGATGCACCGAGTAAATTCAAACTAGATCACCACCCACTACTCGATGACATGTTAGTCAGAACTCGGTTATCCGAAACACATCTTTTCTACACACCAGGCTATTAGATGATAGTTGGTGGCAATCGGCCACAGGAAGCCTTGCCTGACCTAGGTTTCGTGCTAGTTGGCACTCACCAGTCAGTCAGCAACGCGTATCTGCAACCTTGAAGGAACAGCTCATGTCCCTTCTGAGATTCGAACCCGCGTCACCCAGTGCCGCCTGCAGTCAGAGACGTTACCACTGAGCCAGTAATTCGGACTCGCGATTGACCTCCTTCCTGTAGGACTGTAGTGGATAATTTAATTGGACACTAGTAACTAGTGTGATGTATCTAGTCTTTTGTTGTTCGGTGCAGACTGAATTCTATCAGTCAGGTTTGCAGTGTAGCCACCATTCTCTGACTGCAGCGCTGGATAACACTGCG